GAAGTGGCTCAAAGGGGCCCATGAAGTCGATGCCCCATACATCAAACACTTCCACCTCAAGTATCGGGTTTTGTGGCATTTCATTGCGCTTGGAAATGCTCCCTTCTCGTTGGCATCTATCACACCTTGCAATGAAGTCGTGAGTGTCTTTGAAAAGGCTTGGCCACCAGAATCCGGCTTGAAGAACCTTGGAAGCTGTTTTGAAAGTCGCAAAGTGACCTCCGTAGCTTGATCCGTGACAATGCTCGAGTATTCCTTCTACTTCCTCCTGAGCTATGCACCTCCTGAGAACAGATCCCATGTCCCTGGCACTTCTCCACACACCAAGTAGTTGGCGTAATCTGCATACCAAGGCGCTTCCTTTTCCTCAACTGCCTTCAACTGCTCTAACCGAACTGCCAAACCTACGCTTTTCCCAGACTTTCCACCAAGAGCAACTGTTCCTCAGGCAGAGTATCGTCGATAGGTGCGGTCCATTGACCCTCATCCTTGAGAGATGATCCGCAACTCCGTTCTCAACCCCTTTCTTATCCAAAATTTCGAGATCGAATTCCTGGAGAAGAAGTATCCATCTCAGGAGCCTTGGCTTGGTGTCCTTCTTTGCCAACAGATGTCTCAAGGCTGCATGATCAGTGTAGACTATCACCTTTGAACCCACGAGATAACTTCTGAACTTCTCGAACGCAAAGACTACTGCCAAGAGCTCTTTCTCAGTTGTTGCGTATCGTCCATGGTTCTGCTTGCGTAATATATCACGTGGAGCTTTCTTGTCTATCCTCTGGCCAAGCACAGCTCCCACGGCGTAGTCACTAGCGTCACACATGATCTCGAAAGGGTAGTCCCAGTTTGGTGCTTGCACAATCGGGGCCGTGACCAAGGCAGTCTTGATCATCTCAAATGCCTTAAGGCACTCCTCGTCAAACAGGAACTCAGTCTCCTTGCACAAGAGGCGTGTCAAAGGACGAGCTATTTTGGAGAAGTCCTTGATAAATCTCCGATAGAAACCAGCGTGCCCAAGGAAACTTCTCACGTCCTTGACTGTCTTTGGTGGAGCAAGCTGACTCATCACCTCAATCTTTGCTTGATCAACCTCTATCCCCTTTTCTGATATCTTGTGTCCCAAGACGATCCCTTCCCTGACCATAAAGTGACACTTCTCCCAATTGAGCACTAGGTTCGTCTCCTCGCAGCGCTTGAGAACCCTGCACAAGTTGGACAAACAAGACACAAAAGAACTGCCATAGACAGAGAAGTCATCCATAAACACCTCAACAGTGTCTCAATCAAGTCCGAAAAGATGACGTCATGCACCTTTGGAAAGTCGCCGGAGCGTTACACAATCCAAAGGGCATACGTTTATAGGCAAAAGTTCCATAGGGACATGTGAAGGTGTTTTCTCTTGGTCATTAGGGTGGATGGGGATTTGAAAGAATCCCGAATAGCCATCAAGGAAGCAATAGAAAGGATGGTTTGCCAACCGCTCAAGCATCTGATCGATGAAAGGCAGTGGAAAATGATCCTTCCTAGTCGCCGCATTGAGCTTTCGGTAATCTATGCACATTCGGTGACCGGTTATGGTTCTGGTTGGGATCATTTCGTCTTTTTCGTTCTTGACTACTGTGATTCCACCTTTCTTGGGCACACAGTGTACCGGCGAGACCCAAGTACTATCCGAGATAGGGTAGATCACGCCGGCGTCAAGCAACTTAAGGATTTCCTTTTTCACCACCTCTTTGAGGTTGGGATTTAAGCGTCTTTGGTGTTCAATAGATCCCTTAGATTCGTTATCAAGGTGAATGCGATGAGTACAAAGCTCAGGAGATATGCCTTTGATGTCCTCTAAAGAGTAACCAATTGCTCTCCTGAACTTCCTCAACTCATTAAGGAGGGAGGTTAATTGGGGTGGGGTAAGTTCTTGGTTCACAATTACGGGATAAGTTGAATTTGGTCCAAGAAATGCGTACCTTAGCCCATCTGGTAAGGTCTTGAGGTCCACCTTTGGGGCTTTGAGCTCGCTCCAGTCATCGTCTGAAGGTTGCTCGAGGTCGTGCTCTGCCTCTACCTTGTGGATTTCCTCAACTCTCACGGAGCGTCCTATGATTTCCTCAACCACGTCATTGGGAACAGTCCCTCTGTGGGAGTCTAAGAGTCGAGCATACTCCAAGGATTCGGTGTTGAAGTAGCTCTTTTCCTCTGCTTTCTCAGTCAAGGTTAGCTGAAGCTGGTCCTCTGTGGCTAACTCCTCTAGATACTCGTCTGCCAACTGATCCAAAGTCTCTACCCAGAAGAGCTGTCCATCAATGGTTGGTTTCTTCATCGATCTCTTGATGTCGAAGCTGAGCTTGAAGTCATCTCCAAAGTTTAGCTCAATCTTCCCTCTCTGAACATCGATGATAGCTCCAGCGGTTGCCAAAAAGGGCCTTCCCAAGATCAGCGGATCCTTGGGTTCTTCATCCATCTCAAGGATAACAAAGTCAGTGGGTATCTCCACGTTTCCTACTCGCACAGGCAAGTCCTCGAGCATACCCACTGGGATGCGTACTGATCTATCCGCAAGTACCAAGGAAACGTCGCACTTTTGATACTTCTCGAACCCAAGCCTTTTAGCTACTGTGAGTGGCATTACAGATACGCCTGCTCCAAGATCACATAAGCTTCGGTTGAATGCCAGAGGACCAATAGAACAAGGAAGAGTGAAACTGCCTGGATCCTCAAACTTCTTCCCAACCACTTTCCTAGTGATGATTGCGCTACATTCCTGAGAAAGAACGACCATACCCTGAACCTCTTTTCTTCTCTCGGTTACAGCGTCCTTGAGAAATTTCTGATAGGGAGGGATGAGCATACATGCGTCCAAGAAGGGCATTGTAATATCAATCTCCTTTATTTGCTTATCAAACAGGCTCTGGCTTTCTCAAGCTGTTGTTTCTTGAATCGAACAGGAAAGGGAAGTTGCGGTTTGTAAGGAGGAGGAACGAAAGCTGGGGCTTTCTTCTTCTTTTGCACTTCCTCTGGTGCTTTCTCTTTCTCTTGAACTGGTGGTTCCTCTTCAGTCACAGGTGCTGGGGCTTCAGTTTCAACTGAAATCTCCTCCTCTTGTTCCTCAATGTCCTCATTGACTGGTGCGGGTCCTGTTCTTGGAGGTAAAGCGCGTCCACTTCTCAATGTAATTGCTTGTACGTATTCCTTGGGATTCTGCTCTGCTTTACCCGGAAGTTGACCTTGCGTTCTGGATGAGGAAGCTGTTCCGCCTTTGTGTTCAAGCTGATGGATTCTACTTGTGAGAGCTTCAATCTTAGTCTGAAGGTCGTGGTGCGAGAAGTCGATTCTCCCATTGATCTCAGATAGTCGCTTGTTGAGATCCACGTTTCCGGTAGACTGTCCCTGAAGTAGTTGCTGAAGCATCTGCTTGACTCCAGGTTCTTGTGGACCTTGCTTAGCCTCGAATCCAGGTGGAACAGAGGTGTTTTTCTGATAGCCTCCTTGGAATTTTTGTTGTACCCATCACGTGGTTTAGTTGGGTACATCTTTCCTTGACCAGACGTGTTGGCTTGAGGAGGATAGACTTGGTCCTGGGGGTTCTCTACATTCGTGCTTCGATAGGACATATTGGGGTTGTTCTTGTAGTAACCCTGGCTATGAATGTAGTTGACGTCCTCAGTGTAAACTCCTCCTCTTGATCGTCATCACGTTCCTCCAGCATGTGTACCGACTGTTTTTGCTGGACTATAAGCAGTTTGTCAAGCTTGTCGTTCAGCACCTTCAGTTCCTTCTTGTGCTTTTCCTCTGCTTCGACGGATCCTCTGTTTGTGCGGTCATGTCTTCGCCGTATGTACCATTGCTCATTGCCATGTTTTCCACCAAAAACAGACCGTCGTCACGTCTCTGGCCAAGAAGTTGCCTTGGCTTGCTGTGTCAAGCATCTGCCTAAGCGAGGCAGTACACCACGGTATAGAGTGCTTAAGAGTGACTCTTGAGAGAAACCGTGGTGTGGGCACTTCGACTGATATCCTTTGAAGCGTTCCCAGGCGTCTGTGAAACTCTCGCCGTGCTTTTGTGCGAAGCTTGAGATGTTGGTTCTGAAGCTTGCAGTTCTGACTGAGGAGAAGAACTTAGCCAAGAAGGCTTTCTTGCACTGATCCCAGCTTGTGATGGACCCTCGAGGTATCGTCTTTTCCCATTGGCGAGCTTTGCCATCAAGTGAGAATGGGAATAAACGAAGTTTGGTTGCGTCTTCGCTTACCCCATTCTGTGTGATCAAATCACATGCTCTGTCAAACTCGTCAAGATGGTCCAACGGGTCTTCCTCAGGTAGACCGTGATAGATCTTTTGTTGGACTTGATGCAGAATGTGCGGTTTGATTTCGAAGTTGTTGTGCACATTCGGCGGGGCTATGCCTTGACGGTTTTCGTGAGTGTTAGGTGCATCGCCGGCACCTATTTGACGGTGAGGTCGCAGAGGTGGATTGTTTCGCTGACCACCTTGTTGTTCCGGTCCGGGTGGGAATCCTTCCTGTTGGGGTTGGGCTGCCATGTCCGGAACCTCTTGTCTTCTGGTTCGCGAAGTAACTCTGCGTGACCGTTTGTTTTGCTCTGCTTTGTCAAGATCGCTTGTACTTAGGAGGTTGTCTCGTCCTTTGGATCTGGTGTGCATACACCTGAGGTCAAAGATGAGAGGTTTCACAGAAAGTTAGCGACTTTAGGCAAGATAGAGCAAAACCGACTTAATCTAAGGTTTTTCTTGAAAACGAAATGCTTAAAAGTCTCCACTTTGGCAACGGCGCCAAGTTGATAAGTAGGATTTTTGTATCAACTATCTCAATCCATACCACTCATGTCATTGTAGTACTTGAGATGTCAATCCAAGTGGAGATTTAAACTTATCGAAATAAAGAAAAGGCAAAGATCAAGTTTCGATAAAAGATTGGGTTTTGTTTTGTAAAGATCTATGCTTTAAGCTAACAAGATGAAATAAAGATTTAAACTTTAACAATAAAAGATAAAGGAGGCGTCTTGGGTGAGACTTAGTTGGGATCAAACGAGCTCAACCTTCCTTTCTCAACACACCAAGACTCAAGCTTTGTGCTTAGACTTTGGGTAAATCTGCCACTCTCGTGGTCAGATCGCTTTGCAAGCTGAGAATCCAAAGCTAGCTCTCACTAGTGGACTCAAAGTTACAAGCTTTCACAAGATCTAGTCTAAAAGTGCACAAGATACATCCCAACAACCAATCTCTTAGGTTGGGAATGTTTCTCTCTATCGCTAGCTCTCTTAGGCATTAACGCAAACACCTTCTAGGTGTACTAGCCTAGATTCGCGACTTCAAGTGATCAAGAAGAAGCCGAGATATAAAGCTCTAGCTAAAGAAAAGCTGGTCAAGGGAGATTAAGGAAGAGGTTAACAGGAAGCTAAAGCTCTGACCTTTCCTAATCTCACCCTCGAAACCTCTAAAGAACTACTCGCTACTCATACTCGAACCGAAAGCAAAGAGGTAAAGAAAGCTAGAAATCATCATTAAGACAAGATTAGCAAACTAAGTACTTCTTAAACTTAAAAGATTCAAAGTAAAAGCTTACAAAAGATCTCCAAGAACAAACTGTTTTTCTTGGAGAGAAACTGGTTACAAGATAAAGATTGCCTAAAATTAGGTCTTAAAGGTTTATATAGAGAAGGGAAAAGTGTATCCTTTGGTCAACGTTTTTGCTTTGACTTCACAGATGCGCGCAGCTTGAGCAACTTCCTCAAGCACTCTGTTTCCTTTTGCTCAAGGCTCTGTTCCGTCTTGCTTGTTTTGCCATCCGATTACTCCGATCTCCTTCTGGTCCATCTCCGATCATCACCTCCGGTCCCTCCTTCGCCATAAGCTCCGAATACCTGATAAATGCACCCCAAATGCAATGGAAATGCAAAATGCTATCCTAAAGGCTAAATGATCCTAAGTAGACTAAAGCTACACTAAATGTTATGAAATGGGACTCAATTATACACAGAACTATGCAGTATGAGAGGCTAAATGTATGCAAATGTTGAGTACATCAGTCAGCTCTTGATCCAATCCGTTTATGCACCTCTGCACTTGCTTCGCATCCACTCCTGAAGCTTATACTCTCTCTCAGTAGTTGGTGTTGCAGCCGGGTTCGTTCAAGTCAGTTTCGTCTCCATTGAGCATCTCAATGTCTCCGTCTGATTGGTTTGGACAATTCTTGTCTCTCATGAGCAGCTGGGTGTCTCTCCCTGACAGACTAGGTCTTCTTGGAGCTTATCCACGCTCTCTCTCTTCCTTAGCAGTTGGTGTCGTTGCCCAATTGGTTTAGGCTTGCTTCGTCTTCATTCAGTAGCTGGATGTTGCTACATGATTGGCTGAATGGTTTTGGCTCCATTGAGTAGCTGAGTGTCTTCTCCATACTGGTTATGATCATCCTTATCTTCCCAAGTAGCTGGTGTCACCACTTGATTGGCTTAGAACAAGATTGCTCCAAATGTACGTTTCCTCGTCCAGAGGGTTTCGTACGTTTCCCTGTCTGGAGGGTTTCGTCCCCGTCGTGCTTGAGAATTAAAATCTCCTATTTTAATCCTTCTCTCATTTCCATGTTTCTGAGCTTCCACATAGTTGCTTGGAAATGTGCGGAATACCTCCATCCCGAACATTTACGTTTCTTGCAGTCGTTGCGGGATAGATCTTGGGCGTTCGTCCCATCTCTCAATCTGCTCGTCCGATTTGCATTCTGCTTCGACCAAACTTCTTAGAATGTCTCTTATGTCGTCCAAGCTCTTCTCTTCTTGATTTGGAGAACTTTGATATTTTGTCGTCCTGTCGACTCTTCCCATGTTCGCACAATGATCGTCCCACCTGGACAATCTTGCTGTATCTTCACTTCTGCTCGATCGTTCTTGATCCTGTCTTGATCCAAGTCTTCGTTGTGATCTCTGGATTAGATCCCACGTCTTTGTCTTCCAATCCCAGAGTGTTGATCTTCCCATCCCGGCCTTTGGGATGTTTTAGGTCTTGATACGGGGTATCACATTCTCCCCCCCCTTAATAGAATTCGTCCCCGAATTCCAGTTGTAGAGAGTAGGAACGTTCCATTGTTCCGGTGTCTCTCCCCATCTTTTAAGATGCCTTGCCTCCTCTTACTCTGTCTTCACGTTGTCCCCTTGCAGACTCCTCTTACTCTGTCTTCACGTTGTCCCCTTGCAGACTCCTCTTCCACTGATCTCCTCTGATCCTCCTTGCTCAAATCTCCATTCCCATAACCATCCATCCCGGCTTTAACTATGGGTTATCTAATGTCAAAACCGTACCTTAACCAACACTTCCCTTGTTGGTCTTGATCCCGGTCTGACCACTCTAGCGAGGTTCTCCTAACTTCGCTAACCACCTAACCTCTTACTCAAGGATTTCCGTCCTAGCTTTATTTCCCTCTTGGAAACAGCATTCACGGAATTTCCTTCTATTAACACATCGCTTCCCTTTAAGGGTTCCTACTCGATGTGCTAATACCCAAAACTACTTTACCAGAACCAACTTGGTTCCAAGGATATCCGCTCTAGTTTCATTTCCCCCTGGAAATAGAAACATCGGAATCTCCTTTCACCACATCGTTTCCCAAAACATGGGTTTCCTAAACGATGTCTCTACCAAACTCAACTTAAACCACCAAACAATCCTACTTACTATACCAAGCAAGCAAGAAAATAAACCATTCAAAGATTGAGTTAGAACCCGAAAAATACCTTTTCTCGGCATGTGGTTTAGGGTTCCTAGACTCTATCTTACATTCTACGGCTTCCACTCCCTGGTCGCCTCTCTCTCCTTGTGGTTGAGCGGGTGGGTTGACTAGTACTGGGGCAGTTCCTTGGACAGTCTGCTGAGAAATGGCCTTTCTCTCCACAAGTAAGGCAAATGTTCTGCCTTTCATTCATCCTTGATCTAGCTCGCACATTGGGACATGCTCGGCTATGATGTCCCGTCCCTCCACATTGATCGCATGGTAGCGTGACTTGAGACGGTGCTGGGACTCTCATCCTCGCGAGTCTTCTGGGAGGCCTTCCCCTTTGGCGTGACACATTTGCTCTGGCCATTACCCTCTGTTCTGAGATTCTCCAATTCTGTGGCGATTATCTCATCCCACCTTCTTGCTAGGTTAAGACCTTCATCATCTTGTGGCCATTCATTCTCTCCGGTACCTTCCTCCGTGGTTTGGTTAAGATCCGGTATTTGATATTGATCATTGCCTGCCACCGAGTTTGGTGCATCTTGTTCTCCATACATTGTACACCATATCGCATTAGCTTCTCCTTGATCTTGAGGTATGCTTCCTTCTCCATGCTCCATTGATGATGTGTATCCAGCGATCTCGTTGAGTTTCCTTGTCCAGTACGTGGGTGATACGTTCTGGTGTCCAAGATAATCCTCCCATGTTGGTTCCGGCGTATCCGGTTCTTCAGGTTGGTTTCTGAAGACTTCACTATTGACTTGAACTGCAACGGCTGGATCATTGCTTTCTACGCCAGTGGTAATGAACGGGTACATGTAGTCCGTTGGATTATCCTCCGTTGGCATGTACGGGTATACTCCACCTCCGGTGCAAATACATGCGGCATTGGTATATGCGGTAGAACACTTGGTGGACTATCTCTATCCCAAGAGTTTGGTGTAGTCTCGCCTGAACTGATCTCTATGATCTGAGTAGATGGAACCATTCTCTCCTCCTCAGGGTAATGTACTGGCCATGTCATGTGTTCGCCATACTCATTCACCGTTGTGCTGGGCTGCACGTTGTCTCTCGGCATAAGATATACGTCCTCGTCCCAATCACTGCTGCTATCATGATCTGTTAGTGTCTGCTGTTCCAAGTCCGTCACTACGATCCAGTGCTCCGAATTGCTCGACGGTTCTGAACTCGACGATCCAGACTCAGCTGTCCATACTTGCCCAGTACTAAACCACGACCCCTCATCATCCACAAACCAGTCACTCATGACTTCAAGCTATCACCACAAAGCAAACATTAGGGTTCCTATTCAACACAATCTATCCCATGGATGATCCGCATCCATCTATTCTATGGATGATCAACACCCATAGACACCTCAAATATGGCTTACCACATTGCATAATGTTACCATAACCTCTATACTGACCATGCAACAATCAAACAAGAACATGCATGATCAATCAGAAATTATAAGCAACATCAAGCAATGCTTAATAATTTAGAGATGTACCTGATGGATGTTGTGACTGCATACCTATATGGCTCACTTGATAGTGAGATATATATGAAAATTCCTGAGGGATTTAAGATCCCAAAAGGATCAAAGATGCTTGAAGCATCTAAAGAGCTTTGTTCGGTCAAACTCCAGCGATCACTTTATGGATTAAAACAATCCGGCCGCATGTGGTACAATCGCTTAAGTGAATACTTGTTGAGTAAAGGTTACGTCAACAATATTTGTCCATGCGTGTTCATAAAGAAATCCTCAACGGGTTTTGTGATCATTGCTGTGTATGTTGATGACCTGAACATGATTGGAACTCAAAAGGAGATTGATGATGCAAGAACTCATATGAAAGATGAGTTCGAAATGAAAGATCTTGGAAAGACAAAGTTTTGTCTTGGGCTCCAGATAGAGCATTTCCAAGATGGAATATTTTTGCATCAATCAAATTACACCAAAAGGGTGTTAAAGCGCTTTTATATGGATAAAGCGACTCCTTTGAGTAGTCCAATGGTCAATAGATCGCTTGATGTTAACAAGGATCCATTTCGACCTATTGAAGATTCTGAAGAAATGTTAGGTCCTGAAGTACCTTACATGAGCGCCATCGGGGCACTTATGTATCTTGCAAATTGCACAAGACCAGATATAGCTTTTGCTACTAATCTGCTTGCAAGATACAGCTCATCGCCTACCAGAAGACATTGGAACGGAATAAAACATATATTCCGTTATCTTCAAGGTACGATTGAGTTTGGATTATATTATTCAAGAAACCCCGAGGTTGGTTTAGTTGGTTTTGCAGATGCTGGCTACTTGTCTGATCCGCATAAAGCTCGATCGCAAACCGGTTATGTTTTCACTACGGTGGAACCGCGATCTCTGGCGTTCCCAAAAACAAACTTTGGTTGCAACGTCTTCAAATTATGCGGAGAATCATTGCTCTCATGAAGCATGTAGAGAGTGTGTATGGTTGAGATCTTTGATCCAACATATACAAGAAGCCAGCGAGTATCTACAAAGAAAGAGCCAACAACCATCTACGAAGACAATTGCATGTGTCACTCAACTCAAAGAAGGCTATATCAAGAGCGACAGGACAAAGCACATCCCTCCAAGATTTTTCTCTTACACTCAAGAATCGAGAAAGAATCAAGAAGTGGATATTCAGTATGTTCGCTCAAGTGACAATGCAGCTGATCTCTTCACAAAGGTGCTTCCCACTACATGTTCAAGAAGCATGTTCAGAGTATTGGAATGCGTCGTCTACAAGATTTGTGAAGAGAAGACCATATCTATTTTTCCAGGGGGAGTTTGCATTCGGTACTCTTTTTCCTTATCGTAGGTTTTTATCCCATTGGGTTTTTCCATGTTAAGGTTTTAATGAGGCCGTATGCAATACTGATGATGAGTCAAGGGGGAGTGTTGAGATAATAACAAAAAGTGATGACTCATCACATGAGATAACTATCTCCTTCACCGACTCATAGGTGTCACAATATCATTGATTCACCCTCCCTATATAAAGGGGTCAGTTTTTGTTGTACAACACACACAACCAACGAAACATTAATAAAGAAAAAGATATTTCTCCCTTCTCTCTCATACTCATCTCTCGTCTCTCTCCTCTCCGGTGGTCCCCACCACCTTTTTTTATTTTATTTGTTATTTCAAAATATTATAAAATATTGCTTTAAAGGTGAGAATAAATAAAATAAAAGAGTAAGAAAGGTGGTGGGACCACTGGGCAGGAGAGAGACGAGAGAGGAATGATATGAGGAGTGAGAGAGTAACTTTTTTCTATTGAGTTGTGTTGTAGGAATGAATTTCTCTACAGAGATTAGTACCCTTTATATAGGGGACCACACAAGTAGAATTGTGACACCTAAAGTCGGTTTACAAAAGATATTTCTCAGCTGATGATGAGTCATCGTGATTGGTCTTATCACAACACTCCCCCTTGATTTATCATCAGTATAGAGTTGTATATGGCCTCATTAAAATCTTATCATGGAAAAACCCATTGGGATAAAAACCATGAGAAGAAAAAAGAGTACCGATAAGCAAACTCCCCCTGAAAAATAGATATGGTCTTCTCTTCACAAATCTTGCAGACGGCGTATTCCAATACTTTGAACATGCTTCTTGAACACTGTAGTGGGAAGCGCCTTTGTGAAGAGATCAGCGGCATTGTCACTTGAGCGAGCATACTGAATATCCACTTCTTGATTCTTTTCGGATTCTTGAGTGTAAGAGAAATATCTTGGAGGAATGTGTTTCGTCATGTCGCTATTGATATAACCTTCTTTGAGCTGAGTGACACATGCAGAATTGACTTCATAGATAGTCGTTGGCTCTTTCTTTGTAGATACTCCACTGGCTTCTTGTATATGTTGGATCAAAGATCTCAACCATACACTCTCTCTACATGCTTCATGGAGAGCAATGATTTCTGCATAATTTGAAGACGTTGCAACCAAAGTTTGTTTTTGGGAACGCCAGGAGATCGCAGTTCCACCATATGTAAAAACATAACCGGTTTGCGATCGAGCCTTATGCGGATCAGACAAGTAGCCAGCATCTGCAAAACCAACTAAACCAACCTCGGGGTTTCTTGAATAATATAATCCAAACTCAATCGTACCTTGAAGATAATGGAATATATGTTTTATTTCGTTCCAATGTCTTCTGGTAGGCGATGAGCTGTATCTTGCAAGCAGATTAGTAGCAAAAGCTATATATGGTCTTGTGCAATTTGCAAGATCCATAAGTGCCCCGATGGCGCTCATGTAAGGTACTTCAGGACCTAACATTTCTTCAGAATCTTCTTGAGGTCGAAATGGATCCTTGTTAACATCAAGCGATCTATTGACCATTGGACAACTCAAAGGAGTCGCTTTATCCATATAAAAGCGCTTTAACACCCTTTTGGTGTAATTTGATTGATGCAAAAATATTCCATCTTGGAAATACTTTATCTGGAGCCCAAGACAAAACTTTGTCTTTCCAAGATCTTTCATTTCGAACTCATCTTTCATATGAGTTCTTGCATCATCAATTTCCTTTTGAGTTCCAATCATGTTCAGGTCATCAACATACACAGCAATGATCACAAAACCCGTTGAGAATTTCTTTATGAACACACATGGACATATCGCATTGTTGACGTAACCTTTACTCAACAAGTATTCACTTAAGCGATTGTACCACATGCGGCCGGATTGTTTTAATCCGTAAAGTGATCGCTGGAGTTTGACCGAACAAAGCCCTTTAGATGCTTCAAGCATCTTTGATCCTTTCGGGATCTTAAATCCCTCAGGTTCGTCATCTTGACGAACCTCTTTATCAGGTTCTACAAGAACCTGTTCGGAAATGTCTTGAAGACATTTCGGTTCATCAGGAACCTTTACTCCACAATTCTTTTTTTTTCGGGGATATTTATCCTTTGATCCTTTAGGCCTCCCGCGCTTTAATTGAACCGGTTCACTTGCTCTATTCACATCAAAATGTTCATGAGGAACTTCTATTTTTGATGGAGCATTAGCAGCGGGGATATATGACTTCGTCACCCTTTTCGTATCTGTGAATCACCTAGCGTTGATTAAAAGGAGGATCAAGATAAGCCAAAGAGTGTGTACACCAGGTGATATCATTTGGTGATTCTCTCAACCCTCCCCCTAACGCAGGGAATTCATTTTCATCAAAGTGGCTATCAGCAAATCGTGCCGTAAACATGTCACCAGTTGCCGGTTCAAGATACCTTATTATACTAGGGGACGAATACCCGACATATATTCCCAATCTCCTCTGTGGTCCCATTTTTGATCTCTGTGGTGGCGCTATTGGGATATAGACCGCACACCTAAATACCCGGAGATGGAATATATTTGGAATATTTCCAAATGCCAACTGTATGGGCGAAAATTCATTATAAGCACTTGGTCTCACTTGAACCAAGGCTCCCGCATGAAATATTGCATGTCCCCATACAGTTATTGGGAATTTTGTTCTCAAGATTAACGGTCTTGCAATTAACTGCAACCACTTTATTAATGACTCAGCCATGTCATTTTGCGTATGAACGTGCGGAACCGGATGTTTAACATCGATTCCCACACATACAAAAGTCATTAAAGGCTGCTGAAGTGAATTCACCAGCATTATCAAGCCTGACTTTCTTTATGGCATAATTAGGGAAATGCGCTCTCAACCTGATTATTTGGGCAATAAATCTTGCGAAAGCCATATTTCTTGTGGTCAAAAGACTCACATTTGACCATCTACTAGATGCGTCAATCAATACCATAAAATATCGAAATGGCCCGCACGGTGGGTTAATAGGCCCACATATATCACCATGTATTCTCTCTAAGAATACAGGATTCATTCCCAACTTTGGCTGGCGAGGGCCTAATTATGAGTTTCCTTGAGAACATGTTTTACATGAAAACTCCCCCGATTGAAAAATCTTTTCATTTTTCAATGGGTGGCCACTCGTATTTTGCACAATTCTTCTCATCATGACTAAACCCGGGTGGCCAAGTCTTTCATGCCACACCCTAAAAGTGCTAGTAAACATCTGGTTTACTGCAACGTAAGATTCAGTCATGTTGATTTTTGTGCAATATAAACCAGAAGACATCATTGGTAATTACTTCCAATGTTTGTTTCCTCTCCGTTGTAATGCAAAGATATTCAATGCCATTTTTGTTTATAGTCTCAATATGATATCCATTTTTGCGAATATCTCGGAAACTTAATAAGTTCCGGTGAGACTCCAGGGAATATAGTGCATCTCGCACTTCAAATTTCGTTCCCCTTGGCAATGAAAAACTTGCACTCCCAGAGCCAAGTATTATTTTTGCACTACCACATATAGTACTCACGCTTTCAGCGGAGTCTTTCATTTTGAGACAGGAGAAATACTTCTTATCTTTGAGTATTGTATGTGTCGTAGCACTGTCTGCTAGACAAGTATCTTTATCCTTAATCTCAAAAGGTGGCACCATCTGGGCCACGAAATTCATAAAATATGAAACATTTTATATTACACATTGCTAATATATTACATCAAAAATTTTTAGCAAAAGATATATTATACAATACAAGAAAAACGATTAAGAGATTGTTATTCTTGTCTTCTTTACGAAGACACTATCATTGATTTAACTTTCTTTGGCTCAGTTGATTCTTCAGGATCAACGAGATAGTCGGCGACATCCAGATGAAAATCATCACTTAAGCCATCAAAGGATGGACCAGGTTCATCAGAGATGAAGTTTGTCTTTGCATCCTTATTTTTGGCTTGTTGTGATGCCCTGTACAGATCGGCTAAATGTTTGGGCGTACGACATGTACGCTCAAAGTGATTATTCATGCCACATCTGTAACAGGTGCGTTCATCCTTTCTTTTTACCGCTCGATCATCATCACTTTCTCTTCCACGTCCACGACCTCGACCGCGACACGGCCTTTGCCGTGTCTGCGTTCATGTTCAGGCTTTTTAGTGTGACTGGATGACGCAACATTCGCTTCAGGGAATGGCGCAGATCCAGTTGGACGGAGCTGATGGTTTAACATCACAAGCTGATTATTTTTTTCAGCCACAAGGAGGATTTGCATCAACTCCGAGTACGAGGTGAATTCTCTTGCCCGGTATCGTTGCTGCAGGATTATATTTTCAGGATGAAAAGTTGAGAGTTTTTTCCAACATATCAAATTCACTGATATTCTCTCCACACATTTTCATCCTGGAAGTGATGTTGTACATAATGGAATTGTACTCAGCAACACTTTTATAATCCTGGAACCGGAGGTTCAACCACTCGTACCTCGCTTGCGGTAAGATCATATATTTTTTATGATCAAACTGAACTTTAAGCGTGTTCCATAGATCCACATGATCTTCTTTTGTGATGTATTCATCATTTAAACCATCATGTATATGGTGGCGTAAATAGATCATGGCTTTCGCCTTTTGCTCATCGGACGTCTTTCCAGACTTATCGATAGTGCTCAAGAGACCATTTCCTTTTAGGTGCAACTTTGCACCTACCGTCCAAGACAAATAGTTATTACCACTAATGTCCAGGGCTTTGTCAAATTCGACATTATAACTGAATAACAAAAACTTAAACTTTTGAAAATTTCAGCATAATAACGGTATATAAAAGCATAAATTGAAATAGCAAGAAAATAAATGACTGAATTTAAGAGCATAATATAAAGACAGAAATTTAGATCTGGGAGGAGATAGCGTTTGCGGTTTGATTGGTTCTCCCGCTACCACCCGCAAACGCAGCGTTTGCGGTTCGTAGCGGTTTTCGGCGGTTTATAACAATCACGACAACCGCTTTGAATCGCTCTATACCACTCTGTACCGCTCTATATCGCTGAAAATCAAAAGCTCCTTTCCGCAAGCGTTTGCGGTTGCGGGCGGTTGCGGGTGGATAATTAAAAAAAAAAAAACACAAACTTATATAAAATCCGAAAATAAATAATAATATTTATTAAAAAATAAGATTTGGATAATAAAATCACAATATAAATAAAAAATTAGTACTTTTAGTCAATATTCATTAAAATCATATAATACTTATATATTTATAAGTTCTACAAATCAAAATTCTCTTCATAAATATTCTTTTCATACTAATACATATATATCTAATAAATAAAATTGTAAAATAAATTTAATTTTCACATTAAATATATATTTTGAAAATAAAATCACATTTTTATTTAAATTATAGAAATTAAAAGATAGACGTAAGTATTATACACATATTATTATTTATAAAAAAATATTTTTAATTATGTTGAACCATAAATTTAAAATTTTCATTATAAAATATTTTTGATATTTTTATAATTATATAATGTGTTTATATTATTAATTTATTGTTTAACCGCTATTGCATCCGCAAGTGAACCAGTCATAAGTAACCCGCAAACGCATCCATTTTCAATTGTTATGCCAGTCGTACAAACCGCTTAATAACGCTACTAATCACAACCGCCCGCTTCTGCAAACTCCCGCACCCGCAACCGCAACCGCAGCGGTTAAACCAGTCAGACCCATAGTCATCAACTCCGCTACATGGAAGAGGTTTTCACCATCAACTCCGGAGGAGGATTTCCCTACCACTCCATATATATGATCTGAGGAGACATAGTCTACCATGTGATCATTTGCTCGGAGTAGGCAGAGTCTAGCTTTCCGGCTTTAATTTATTTGATCGAGGAGGCAGAGCCATCCATGACGATCAGCTCGGAGTAGGCATGGCCTAGCATCCCGGCAGAACATACAAATAATAGAATTTAAAATTAAAATAATTTAGACAGAATTTAGTTTCACCTTTTTAGTATAAGGATAGATCTGGATAGATCTAGGCTCGTAGAGGCAGTTGTGCTGATAACGTATTATAAAATATTGCTTAAAGGTGAGAATAAATAAAATAAAAGAGTAAGAAAGGTGGTGGGACCACTGGACAGGAGAGAGACAAGAGAGGAATGATATGAGGAGTGAGAGAATAACTTTTTTCTATTGACTTGTGTTGTACGAATGAATTTCTCTACAGAGATTAGTACCCTTTATATAGAGGGACCACACAAGTAGAATTGTGACACCTAATGTCGGTTTACAAAAGATATTTCTCAGCTGATGATGAGTCATCGTGATTGGTCTTATCACAACACTTCCTCTTAGTATAAATAGGGGGTCTTG